GCTGTCCTTTGTCGCCATATTGTCATTATGAAAATGCCATTGGCCTTGGAATAAAATCCAAGAAATTTCAATAAAATAATGGCTAAATAAGAGATCCGAAATGATTTCCAGTGTGCATTGGTATGAATTCATGTATTGAGGTCTATTTTCTGTAAAATTAAGGTGATTCCATCAAATTCATTTGATTTCTGAAACAATCTTTTTTGGTAACTTGAATTATTTTGGAGGCGCATTTATTTAACGCTCATATTATCTCAATATACACGATAACATTTCAAGCGCATATGTTTTGGAACTTCTAAAAAGTAATATATTTTCTTTAAGATTTTCACTAATGTCGCCATTAAACAAAACTGATTGCATGGTGATCTTGACACCAACACTCAAACCTATTTTTACCGCTAAAGATTTCCATTTGGAAAAAAAGTTTCAGCAGAACAGAACAACAACAAGCTAATTTATGGCGGTTGCTTTGAAGCCAATACAAATTAAATTGGCTTTATAACTGATTTTCACCAAAGCGTTATAAAACTGCTTGGATACAATATTACTCTTATAGAGGCTATGAGAACCTTTTGTAGAGTATGAGGCTTCCTGACAAAAGGTTTTAAGACAGATTTATTGTGATTCTCAAACATGCTTTATAAACCTTATCAAGAGTGGTCCACTAAGCTGTATGACGATCTTATAGCGGTTATCAAAAGGTTGTGCTGGAGCTATTAATTTTATTGGCGGTTTTATGAAATTGATCTCAATAACCACTAATAGAGTGCAATAAAACAAGAAATGCTACTTGGGTCTTGAAATTCAAGACGGTGGCTTCCGATTTCAGAAGAAGTGTCAAATAGCCTACAAATGGCATCGAATATAGATTTTCAGCATCTACGCGTCGTCTTCGTTCCGAAAATACCCAGATCTTAGAGTATTTCACACTTTTGTGAAACCCGACGGCCGCCATATTGGATTCCAAAATGGCATCGGATATCGATTTTCGGCATCCACACGTTGTCCCCATTCCGAAAATACCTATATTGTAGGATATTTGAAACTTTCTGAACCCTGATGGCCGCCATATTGGATTCCAAAGTGGTATCTGATATCGATATTTGGTATCTACGTGTTTTCCCTGTTCTGAAAATAACCATACTGTAGGGTATTTGAAAGTTTTTCTGAGATCCTATGGAGTCCAACATACACCGTTCAAAAAAATTCATGTTAATTTCTGCGTGATATAGCGCACATAAAATTAACGCAAGAGTTGGCATAAATTTACGCGATATTTCGTGTAAATTTAAGCGCAATATCGCATAAATTAGCAATATTGTATGCAAGTTTGTAAACGATTTAGCTGTTTATGCCAATTATATCTCAAAATTAAATTAAGAGAGATTTTACGTGATAGTTAAAATTCAGAATTTTTTTCTGTGTAGCATCGGATATCGATTTTCGGCAGCCACGCGTTGTCTCCGTTCCGAAAATACCCATATTTTAGGGTATTTGACACGTTTTATGAAACTTGATGGTCACCACCTTGGGTTCCAAAATGGCGTCGAATATCAATTTACGGCATCTACTCGTCGTCTCAGTTCCGAGAATTCCCATATTATAGGATAGTTGACACTTTCTGATTCCTGATGGCCGCCATATTGGATTCCAACATAGCGTCGGATATCGATTTTTGGCATCTACGCGTTGTTCCCGTTCCGAAAATACCCATATCTTAGGGACTGATACTTCATAAAACCAATGGCCACTATCTTGAATTCCAAAAAGGCGTCGGGTATCGATTTTCAGCATCTACGCAGCATCCCCGTTAAGAAAATATCCTATTGTAGGATATTTGAGACTTTCCCTGACCCCGATGGCTGCCATCTTGGACTCCAGAATGGCCTCGTTAATTAAATTTTCGTTTAATATAAAATAATATATTATTACTACATATATTCCGGATGCCATCCCTGTCGGCATCCGATATTGTGCGGATAGTATCCGGATACTATATTTTGATACCTGCGTCGCCAGGTCGTGACAAGTCGAATGAGCCCCGAATTGAAGTGAAAGTGGAAAAAACGAAGGAAGCAGTTTTCAAGTCATTCATTGCGTCAATTGAAACAAGTCTTTGCTTCAAATGAAATGAACTGAAGCACTTGACAAACAAAACAAGTGATAGTCCAGATATGTTTGAAAAGAGGAATGTTCATCGTGACTCGATAACAAGAAACACGATGACTTACATGAAAATGATATTGCTCGAAATGAAGCGATTCTGCGGAGTGTTCATTTTCTTTTCTTTGTTTCGAAAATGCAGAACCCTGATTGCACCGCAACACAGCAACTGTTGTGGCAGTCGACAACGGAAACAGAGTGTGACGTTGCTATCATTGCAGAGCCATATCGAGTCCCTCTCGATAATGGTAATTGGGTGGCGGATAGAGCAGGAATGGCGGCCATACAAGTCATGGGCAGGTATCCCATTCAACAAGTGGTGGCGGGCTCATACGAAGGTTTCGTGATCGCCAAAATCAATGGAATCTATGTATGTAGTTGCTACGCACCCCCGAGATGGACAATTGAGCAGTTCCACCAGATGCGAGATGGGCTCACCGGAGAGCTCATTGGACGGAGACCAGTCGTCATCGCAGGAGATTTCAATGCTTGGGCAGTGGATTGGAGGAGCAGGTGTACCAACGCAAGAGGGTATAGCCTGTTGGAAGCTCTGGCAAAGTTGAACGTCAGTCTGGCCAACTTAGGAACCATCAGCACCTTCCGCGAAGATGGTAGGGAATTCATTATCGACGTCACTTTCTGCAGTACGTCGCTAATGGCAAATATGAACTGGAGAGTATGCGAGGAGTACACCCATAGTGACCATCAGGCGATCCGGTACAGTATCGGCGAACGGACACCGGTGGAAATCCGGAGGACGAAAGTAAGCGAGCGGAAGTGCAAGACGAAGGCATTCACTAAGGATCTCATCATCGAAGCTCTAAGGGTAGACAGCAGCGTCCTGGGCCTAAGCGCGAACGAGTTGACCGAATCATTAGCAAGGGCATGTGACACAACTATGCCGAGAAAACTGGAGCCAACGAACAGGCGGCGTCCAGCTTACTGGTGGAACGAGGAAATCAGCACCCTCCGTGCTACTTGTCTTCTAGCCAGAAGGCGCGCTCAGAGAGCAAGAACTGAAGCAGACAGAGAGGATCGCAGTGTGGTGTTGCAAGCGGCTAAGGCTGCACTAGAACGAAAGATAACGCTGAGCAAGTCAAACAGTTTCAAGGAGCTGCGCCGAGATGCCGATGCCAACCCCTGGGGCAACGCATACCTAGTCACGATGGCAAAGATCAGAGGTCCAACGATGCCGGTTGAAATGTGCCCCAACAAGCTGAACAGTTTCAAGCCTCGTGGAGGGACTTTTCCCACAGCATGACCCAACGACCTGGCCACCTACACTATATGCCGAGGAAGATGGAGACAACGTTGAACAAGTCTCCAAGGAGGAACTCCTAGCAGCAGCGAAAGGGTTGAAGACGAAGAAAGCTCCCGGCCCAGATGGAATTCCCAACGTGGCGTTGAAGGCGGCGATCCGGACGTTGCCGGACATGTTCAGGATGGTGCTGCATAAATGGATGAGGGTCAGTTCCCTGATAGGTGGAAGGTACAAAAGCTTGTGCTGTTGCCGAAGCCCGGAAAACCGCCGGGGGACCCTGCATCGTATAGGCCAATATGCTTGCTGAATACTGTCGGAAAGCTCTTGGAGATGATCATCCTGAACAGGCTGACGAAATGCACGGAGAGTGAACACGTGTTGTCGGAGAGGCAGTTCGGATTCCGGAAAGCGAGATCGACTGTGGATGCAATTCGGACAGTGATTGACAGAGCCGAGAAAGCTTGAAAACAGAAGCGGAGAGGAAATCGATACTGCGTCGTGATTGCGATTGATGCGAAGAATGCATTCAATAGCGCCAGCTGGGAGGCCATCGCCAAAGCGCCCCATAGAGTGAGGGTTCCAGACTACCTCTGCAGGAGTCTAAGTAGTTACTTCTAGAACCGGGTCCTGGTCTACGAGAGAAAGACACGGGGCAGAAATCGCTTAGAATCACGGCGGGAGTTCCACAAGGCTCCATTCTAGGTCCCACGCTGTGGAACGGAATGTACAATGGCGTGTTGACGCTCAAGCTGCCCAAAGTAGTTGAGATCGTTGGCATTGCGGACGATGTCGTCTTGACGGTAACCGGTGAGACGCTGAAAGAAGTGGAAATGCTTGCGGCCGAGGCGATAGATACGAGTGGTAACTGGAAGCAAGGAGCGAAGCTGCAGATAGCTCACCACAAAACAGAAGTGATGTTGGTCAGTAACTGCAAAGCAGTGCAGCGGGAACAAATCACCGTTGGACAGCACACCATTGTTTCGAAGCGCGTGATGAAGTATCTGGGAGTGATGATCGACGACCGGCCAAACTTCAACAGCCACATCGAATATGCTTGCGAGAAGACGGCGAAGGTCATCAACGCAATAGCCAGAATAATGCCGAACAATTCTGGTCCCAGCAGCAGCAAGAGGCGTCTTCTGGCTAGTGTGTCCTCATCGATACTAAGGTACGGAGGTCCAGCCTGGATTGAAGCGCTGAAAACGAAGCAGAACCAAAGGAAACTGAGCAGTACGCATCAACGCAATAGCCAGAATAATGCCGAACAATTCTGGTCCCAGCAGCAGCAAGAGGCGTCTTCTGGCTAGTGTGTCCTCATCGATACTATGGTACGGAGGTCCAGCCTGGATTGAAGCGCTGAAAACGAAGCAGAACCAAAGGAAACTGAGCAGTACGCATTGGCTCATGGCCATGCGAGTCGTGAGTACATACAGAACCATTTTGATGGAGGCAGTATGCGTTATCGCCGGTATGATCCCAATCGGCATTACCTTGGCGGAGGACTACGAGTGCTATATGACGAGAGAAACCAGAGGAGTTCGAAAAATGGTGAGAACGGTGTCAATGGCTAAGTGGCAGCAGTAGTGGAATGCAGCAGAGAACGGTAGATGGACACACAGGCTAATACCTATTCTTTCGACCTGGGTGAACAGGAAGCATGGAGAAGTCAACTTCCACTTGACGCAGTTCTTGTCTGGTCATGGCTGCTTCAGCAAGCACCCTTCTGTGGAAGAATCACCAGAGCACGTGGTCTTCGAATGTCCTAGATTTGATGCTGTGCGAGAGGAGATCCTCGCCCTTAACACGCAGAATGTCGTCGAAGAAATGTGTCAAGAGGAGGGCACCTTTAACGCCGTCAGCAGAGCAGTAACACAGATCATGTCAGCGCTGCAGCGAAAATGGCGAGAAGACCAGCTAGAAAGTAGTAATGTACTCACACAAGTGCAAAACCGAAGCCGGGAGAACTCTCCCTCGAGTAGAACGCGACGCTGGGGGCTAAATGGCTAACAAATTGAAGAGACGATCAGCGAAGTGGAAGCGCCAGTTAGCTGAGGTAAAGTTAGGTGCGTAATGCACGGCCCCCTCCGAAGTAATACGACAAGTGGTTCCTGGGGAAAAAGGGCAAGGCGTCCACCAAGGAGGTTTTAGTGCGGTAAGAATCCCACACACCGTGTCACCGTGACCGTGAGCCCAGTCGTCAAGCGGTGGCATGATGGCCTTGTTGAAAGTTTCCTCCTTTGCAAAAAAAAAATAATCCGGCAATAGATTCTAAATAAGGTTCAGATCTCATACTGCACATTGCCCTTTGATGTGTTTATATGAGAAATGCAATGGGGAAAGTGAACTTTATGTTCACCTCGTCCTTTCTCCATAACTATTTGTGGATAAACTTGTCATATCTACTTATTGGAAATTTTCTTAGCTACAACTTTGCACAAGATCACTGTTTTGATTGAACGTCAGGATGATAAGTTATTAATTAATTTGGACGTTGCAATATTACACAGTGGTCCAGGAGAACAATGTAGTGGGGCACAGTTAAAAACTCCAAAACGGTACACTGAAAACGAATATTACTCAGAGAGGGAGTCACTTTTACTTATTCGTATGGAGAAATTTCTAAAACTCATGCGCTAAGTGACCTACGCTTTTTGAAATTTCTCCAATTTCAACTGCGTAACAGTTGCTCACTCTCTGAGTTAGTTTCGTTTTTCGTGTATCTCCAGCAGTGTATTTTGGAATAAAAAGCGCCTTCTTTTAGTAATAAAATAATCGTACAAAACTTGTACTATACTGCTATTCAAAATGAATCATTCTGGAGAGTTGGTGACTTCGACAAAGTTGTTTATTAGTTAAAAATAGTGTTGATAAAATTAAAAAAAAATCAAATCTCGCCGATCTTGGGCATTGATAAAGAGCGCTTGATTTTCGTAGACAAAACCAACAAGCAAGCAACTGCGGATGATAAAATTCGTGATATCGTAGCTACGAATATCAAGCTAACAAAACTCACCAGCTACATTTTTAACCAAAGCGTGGTGAGTTTTGATTGTTCCTCTACATCCGACCGCGACCCGAACCTAAAGGGTGATACGGTCAAAATTTGGTCAAGGGAAAACGCGTGTAAATCGGTGAAATCGTTTATTTAAAAAATCAAATTAAATTTCTTTTTCAAGTTCAATTAGTATAAAATTCAGGAAAAATATTCAGTTAGGCTTCCGCTTTTCCAAATCCGAATTGCCGGGCCTTACGCTTGACCCCTGCCATCAGATTTTGTACAGCCACCTTGTCCATCTTCTTCGCCGCAGAAAGCCAGTTTGCCTTGAACTGCTGCTCGCCCTTAGCAGTTTTTTGGTCTTCTTTAGGTTCCGCTTGACAATAGCCCAGTATTTCTCAATTGGGCGGAGCTCTGGCGTGTTGGGAGGGTTCTTGTCCTTGGGAACCACCTGCAAGTTGTTGGCGGCGTACCACTCCATGGCCTTTTTACCGTAATGGCAAGATGCCAAATCCGGCCAAAACAGTACGGAACAACCGTGTTTCTTCAGGAAAGGCAGCAGACGTTTATTCAAACACTCTTTCACGTAAATTTCTTGGTTGACAGTCCCGGAAGCTATGAAAATGCTGCTTTTCAAGCCACAGGTACATATGGCTTGCCAAACCAGATATTTCTTTGCGAACTTTGACAGTTTCATGTGCTTGAAAACATCTGCTACCTTTCCCCTTCCTTTTGCCGTATAAAACTCCTGTCCCGGAAGCTGCTTGTAGTCGGCTTTGACGTAGGTTTCGTCGTCCATTACCACGCAGTCAAACTTCGTCAGCATCGTCGTGTACAGCCTCCGGGATCGCGCTTTGGCCGTCGTATTTTGTTTATCATCGCGATTTGGAGTCACTACCTTCTTGTAAGTCGGTAGTCCGGCTCGTTTTTTGGCTCGATGCACGGTTGTAGACGATACACCCAGCTTATTTGCGGCATCTCGGAGAGAGAGGTTAGGGTTTCGCTTGAAACTACCGGCAACTCTCTTTGTCGTCTCAGCGGCTTCCGGTTTTCGATTTCCCCCCGATCCAGACTTCCTGGCTGTCGACAAACGTTCCCCAAACACTTTAATTACATTTGTAACGGTTTATTTGGCAACTTTTAGCGATTTTGCCAACTTTGCGTGCGAGTAGCTCGGATTTTCGCGATGCGCGAGCAAAATTTTGATACTCTGCTCTTCTTGCTTGGACGGCATTTTGACAACTGAAGAGTGAATTCCAAAATCAAAATAGGAGCAACATTCTACACACACACACCTTCAAAATGAGACGTGTTCAGGTTTTTTAAATGCAAAATTGAAAGAAATACGTCAAGTTGATATTGACCAAATTTTGACCGTATCACCCTTTACCATCACGCTGCAGTAGCTTCATGTCACCCTTCGGTGAAGAGTAAAGAGAGATTGCGAACTATACTTGCTCTTTTTAAGAAAACGATGTGCAACGGAATCATTTCAGTGCTAACATTTGAAAACGGCACAAAAGCCATTTGTAAACAAATGGTTTGTGGGCCCTTTACTCACTACTTGAAGTACACCCACGCGACACAACAGCAACATCGGGTAGGGGAAATTTTCCCCTTCCTGACGATGCTGTTGGTTTGCGTGGGCGTTCTTCGGGTAGCGAGTGAAGGGCCCACAAACCATTTGTTTACAAATGGCTTTTGCGCCGTTTTCAAATGTTAGCACTGATTTTTGTGTCGAGTAAACTCTCAGCTTCATTTTTGCATTTTGTGAAAAGAATTTTTTGTCAATTTTCAAGTGTCCATGGTTTTGAATATGCCAAAAGTTTGCATTTTTCCTAATCCTTTTTTGACGTAGGACTACGTCTTTAATTTCTATATGGGGGTACACTTTGTCAAAACCGAAAATGGAACATGTAAGAAATTAAGAAAGATTTTGAACGTTAACAACTCAGCTGTCCCTGGTCCAATTTCAATAATTTTACCACCAATCGATCAGAAACATGACTACGCATCGAAAAAATGTTTCCGAATGTTGAATTTCAACAAGAAAATATTGAAAAATTGGTAAATGTCCAGCACTGTCCAAAAGCGACGAATTAACTAACAAATCCACCAATTACCTACATGCATATGCTGCTTCCCCAGCACAGTCGTCAGAGAGTAGTAAGTAGACGAAACAAGTCGAAGTGGCATTCGCCTCCGATCCTCGGGCGCGTGCGAATAGGGAGGATGGAATTGCGTAATATTTTGCACACTTATAGCCATCTCCGGTCTGATTTACGAGGTGTGCTGAAGGTATTCCTGAAAAATGAGATCCGTGATGCTGTAACCTACACTAAACACGCCAAGCGTAAGCGGCCATGGATGTCATCTACGTTTTGAAGTGACAGTTTCAGAGGTTAAATCATCACCAACTTTGGCAATAAAACGGCTCTTTTCAGGGCCACCAAGCTTATTACAGTAATGAGTAGGAATAGAATTCATCTGCCTGTTTGTTCATATTCAGAACCAACGACCACACAAAATGCTCATGTAATCAAACTGGAAGCAGGGGTACAAATTATTTTGATCAACCTTGATCAACTTTGAATCGCCACGGCCGGATATTTTCGATGGAAGAAGCAACAATCTACATAGCATCTAGTTCGACGAAGACGACAGGAAACATTTGTGAAGCCGAGTTATTTACGAAAGAGAGTGTCGATGAAGAGAATCGATCAATGTAGATAGGACCTATTGAAAAGTGACGCGAGATTTGTTTTCCGTACTGAGCTCCAATGCTACCGACGCCAGAGAGGCAGCTCCCACACCTGGACCCTACCAATCGACCCATCAACTCAACCGGGGACCAACGGCTTTACTTCCCGAAGGAAGGCGTGATCAGAGATGTTATGCCTTAGAACATGCCGGTGGCGCCAACTGAGGTTGGACCCAGGCCTGCTGGGGTGAGAGGTAATCACGCTAACCACCGGCGCCGATATCTTTCAAGGTGATATCACGGCGGATGAGAACGACCCAAATTTGAGTTTAGTTATCTCAATAATAAGAAATGAAGTGCAGGAACTCAGCGATGAGTAAATTTCTGTAAAATTATGTAAAATTATGAGTAAAATAATGGATAATTGATCAATTAAAAGAACTAAATGCTCTTCACATTTATTCCGCCCACTAGCGGTCCTACGTCGAGCTTTCGTTCGTGCCCCTAGGCACAGACCCTTCTACTTTTTAATTTTTAAAATTGAAGTTATCCTTTTTTGTAATATTTGAATTCTTAACACTCAAAATCACAAAAAAAATCCGTGATATTTTATCCAGAAAGAATTTATTTTTCTGGTCAACTTTGACTCGTACGTAATTTCGATCAGAAGTAACGTTTTCGTGCTAACACTTTTTGAAAAATGAGAAAGACGCCATTTTGAAAAAAAAAAATTACAGGATAACAAAGTTTCATGTAAATCGAAGAAGGTCGAGTTTTTCCGATTCGTCATTTGGAAATATATTAGCCTAAAATATACTTAATTTTATTTAAGATACAAAGTCACGCATTCATAATAACAAATCAAATTATTATAGCATATTCTCCAT